GCAAGCCAACAACTAGCACTTTCAACACCCTTATTAAAGGATATGGAAATGTTGGGAAGGCTGAAGAATCTTTGAAATTGGTTGAGTTAATGTTGCAGGATGGAAGTGTGCAGCCAAATGATAGGACATACAATATTCTTGTTAGAGCCTGGTGTAAAAAGAATAACATAGAAGAAGCATGGAAAGTGGTTTATAAGATGGAATCATCTGGTGTGCAACCTGATGTTGTCACATACAATACATTGGCAAGGGCCTATACTCATAATGGGGAAACTTACAGAGCTGAAGAAATGGTATTTAGGATGAAGAATAATATAGTGGAGCCTAATGAGAGAACCTGTGGCATAATTGTGAATGGGTACTGTGAAGAAGGAAATATGGCAGAGGCATTGAGGTTTGTGCACAGAATGAAGGAACTTGGGGTTCATCCAAATCTTTTTGTTTTCAACTCTCTTATCAAAGGATTTCTTGACGTTACAGATACCAAAGGTGTTGATGAGGTATGTTTCAAAGTAAACATTCATTTTATTAAACATGTAAACAAACTATGAGTTTCATGCAGGTAGAACTATGAGTTTCATGCTCTGATCACATGCAAGACACTGACATTAATGCTAGATATGTTACCACTTCTGGCTACTTAAGAAACACAGATCTTTGAAGTTTTTCACTACTTAAACTATTATCTTAGTTTACATTTGGAACAAGTAACATGAAATTTATTTGCAATTCATATTTAACTAGGAGAAGGTGTGAATTTCCCTGAGACAAAAAAAAAAAGAATATAATGGAATTTTACGTGATATTAGTAAAATGCATTTCAAATTTCATTAATTTTGGAAGAATTTGGAATCTATATTGTTTAAATTTCATGCAAACTAAATTGCTATCATTTTAGGTAGAACTCTCATCATCTTTTAGTTATATGTGTGGAGATTTTGAAATGAATTCTATACAAATTTTGGATTTATTCCAAATATAGCCTTAGTTCTATCAGACCAAGTTATAGAAAAAGTTGGTTTGTGTTTGGTTTTAACTTCTGATCTGGCAACTGGTTATTTTCGTTTTGGAAATGTTTACTTATATTACATATAATTTTTGACAGGCACTGACATTAATGGAGGAATCTGGGGTAAGACCAGATGTTGTAACATTTAGCACAATCATGAATGCATGGAGTTCAGCAGGGCTTATGGACAAATGTGAGGAGATCTTCAATGACATGTTGAATGCCGGAATAGAACCTGATGCCCATGCTTTTAGCATTCTGGCTAAAGGCTATGTTCGAGCAGGAGAGCCACAGAAGGCTGAGTCACTGCTGATTTCCATGAGCAAATCTGGCGTGCAGCCAAATGTTGTCATCTTCACTACCATCATGAGCGGGTGGTGCAGTGTGGGAGAAATGAGCAAGGCAATGCGTGTATATAAAAGAATGTGTGAAATTGGGATTTCCCCTAACTTGACAACTTATGAGACCCTGATGTGGGGATTTGGAGAAGCAAAACAGCCAATGAAAGCTGAAGAACTTCTCCAAATTATGAAAGAGAAGGGTGTGTTCCCAGCAAAGAGCACTATCCATCTTGTTGCAGATGCATGGCAGGCTATTGGTCTAGTGGGTGAAGCCAAGAGAATCCTTAACAGTTCAGACAAGGACCCAGAAGTCTCAACAAGTAACAGAAAGAATGGTGCACTAGCTGAAAGCTTGGAGAAGCAGAGTCTGAAATCTTATCAAAAGCTTTTGAAGATACCTCAGGTTGTCACAACTGACCAAAGCGGGTCAGCATCTACTCGAATAAGAAGCCAAACGATAGTAAAATCTGTCAAACTTTCTGCTGAAAGTTTGTTGCCTACAAGTAAATCAATGTCTCTTAAGCTTAGAGGAAAGTTTCAAGTGCAGCAGCCACTCACTTTTTGCGGGAAACAAATTGGTGTATGCCAGCAGTTTGTAAATTCATATAGGGTAGTGTTCATATACTGAGGAAGAAATCATAGATGACAACACCAAAGGCATGAGGGTGGATTTAATTTATAGGGTCCTGAGAATTGGGAAATGTCAAATACCAATTGATTATTTCTATTTGTTTGTCAAAGCTGTAAAGATACTGAAATTTCTGTATTTAAAGGCTTACGATATATTTTTGATCTCATAAGTCAGTTTGCATATTTTGCATATGGTTCTATATATTGAAGATTTTGATCTTACAGGCTATAGAAAAAGCTTGTTTTCTATCAAATTTTCAATGAATATCTTATCCAATCTCTAAACCTATTGCTCCTCTTACACTGGTGGCTGGATTTATCAGAAACTTTCACGGTTCATTTTACTTAAATTTCTAAAAGGCAAGTATTTTAAGAGCATAAAAGCATAAGTTTTTCTTCTTTTTGTTTATTTAAAGAAGAAAAAAAAAAACTTCAAGAAAAAAGAACAAAATCCAAAAGCCTGTTCTTCTTTGGGTCCACAATCTCTGTTACTTATCTAACAAAATAGCCAAATTGCATAACTGGTAGATGAAGCAAAGGCAGTTAACTGGACACAGACAATCTCCACTCTCCATTCCCATTCAATTTTGGTACCGGATTGTAGACTAGTGCAGCTTCAAGCGCTGATGGCTTTATCTCTCCACCTTCCATCTCCGCTAACCCTGCAAAACCCCATTTCTAATCCAGTCACAGCTCTTAGAAACCTCGATTTCACGCCTAATTATTTCTTCAAGCCTCCCAAAGTCCGTAACCTCCACCTAGTTGCTAAATCATTCTATTGGACGCACACCCGCTTGGGGTTCCTCTCCGAAAACACTAATATACTCGTATTGAGCTTCCACAGCTCCAGACACTTGAACCTTAGAAATCAAATTCAAAGGTTCAGTTGTTATGGGGTTAAAGACTCAGGCGAGGAAACGAAGGCGGCGGCAGGCTTTGGTGATGGTGATGATGGTGGAGGCGGTGGAGGGGGAGATGGGGATGACGGACAGGTGGAAAAGAAAACTGGGCCATTGCCGGAATGGTTGAATTTCACTCCAGATGATGCAAAGACGGTGCTGGCTGCAGTGGTCATATCATTTGCCTTTCGGGCTTTCGTGGCTGAGCCTAGGTACATTCCGTCATTGTCAATGTATCCGACTTTTGATGTTGGAGATAGAATTGTTGCAGAGAAGGTAATGCATTAGGATTATACTATTTCAGTTATTAGTTCTCTCTTAGTAGACTTTTTGACAGATCAATCCCTCTACTGGGAAACATGAAAAGTCCATGTTTATTGCTTGAAATGAAAGTAGCAATATAGTATAAATCTTACTTCTCATATTTTAGGTTTTCTTTTGGTTCAGTTCTCATTCAATTTCTATAAATTCTCACATTCATATTGATATGCATAATTAAAACATGTATTTTCTGGTGTTTCAAGGTTGAATTGACACCACTAGAGAATTTTAGGTAAGGTGGTTCAAGATAGGGCTGAATTCACACTGGAATTCATGGTGGGATGGTGGAAACTTAGAATGCAAAGATTTGTGTTCTAACAATGAATAATAAGACTAATATGCAAATTGTAATTAGGAATTGAACCAAATGTAACATTAGGTTTTTCGAATATGCTTTATTTGGCATAATAAGATGGATGTTGGTTTATGAATTTTCAGGTTACATATTATTTCCGGAAGCCATGTGCTAATGATGTAGTAATTTTTAAAAGTCCACCAGTTCTTCAGGAAGTAGGATACACCGATGATGATGTTTTCATCAAACGGATCGTTGCCAAGGAAGGTGATATTGTTGAGGTGAGAGATGATATCATGTAAACATTATATTTCCTAGTCTTTCCATAACTCATTACCTTTTACATCTCTCTTCCAAGAACTATCAGCCTAAATTTCTTCTAATGTGGCACTTCTGACTAATATTGCCATACATTTAGCATGTTGTGGTTTATAATAATGGCAACTTGGAAATGAGATGGCAAAGCAGACCACCTTTCTTTTGACTCAGAGAGTACATTTGTTCCCTTTCCATGTTTGGATAACTATGTATATATCTTGCGATACTTCAGAAGTTATTGCGCCTTTTAAACGTGCTTTCCGAGTACTTTCAACCCTCGGATATCTGTTGATTCTGAAAGTTGCTTCTCTTCAAGCATGAAAACATAATAAGAGCATTATCATCTGTTAAAAGAAACACATGTTTGCATCTGGTTATCCATTTGAAACTCACTCTTCCGTTCTAGATTTCGGATCTGATTTTGGTTCATATATTGAAGAAAGAAACATGAGAAAGCATCTAGGCAAGAAAAGTCCCAATATAAATGCCGCATGTGACCCAGGAAATCTATATTGCTTGAATCTTCTCTTTTATTATATCTGGTTACAATGATTGACGGCCTGTAGGTTCATGAAGGGAAGCTTATTGTTAATGGGGCTGTAAGAAATGAAAGCTTCATCCTTGAACCACCATCTTATGAGATGACACCTATTGTGAGTATCATCCCATTCTTTGAAATTATTATGGATTATTTTGTCCTTCTTTTCCATTCCCATGAACCCTGGGCCAAGAAAAAACAAGTTGATTCTCAGCAATCATGTGTTCTTTAAAATTGCTGATTCTAGTTCTTATTCATGCTGCAGCGTGTACCAGAGAATTCAGTCTTTGTGATGGGTGATAACCGAAATAATAGCTATGATTCACATGTATGGTAAGATAATATTCTTTTTTTTTTTTATTTCCATTGTTCTCTCCTTAGCTCTTGTTGATTCTTTGGCGTCTTGTTTTTTTGTTTCAGGGGCCCCCTTCCTGCAAAAAACATCATAGGAAGATCTGTGTTCCGCTATTGGCCACCTAACAGAGTAGGTGGTACAACCCTTGAGACTGGCTGCGTGGTTGACAAGCAAGTGACTGTTTCACCATCCAGTTCTTCATCTCAATAATCACCCAATCCATTGATTTTTATCCAACTAATAGGAGTTTTAAGTAGGGGTAAAGGGAGGCCTTTCACCATCTTTGCTTCTTTTCACTGTTCACATTTTTGAGCCTTCAATTTTGCCCCTTCTGCTTTTCATTGTTTAGCTAGAATGGCCATTCTTATACAAGCGCGCTCTTTTCAGGCTGCTTTTGTGTCAATTTCATTGATTATGAGTGTATGCTTGCCCTTCCTTTGATTAGAAACAATTGTTTTCCTGTTTTTATTAAATCCCATTTCCTCCTTGCTTCTTCAAGCAAAATTTACATGTAAATGAGTTTCTGAGACTGAAATATTATGTCACTGGAATTGTGTAAGCCAGGAACTGCAAATCTCTTATACCAGTTCAATCTGGGTTACCTGAAAACTCGATCTTCTATTCTATTTTGTTTCTTTGATGTAACTTGCCATTTTTTTCCCACCAAAAGCAAACATAGAAAACAGACTCTTGATACTTCCTTAAAGTAGGTTTTTTCAGATATTTGTTTCGGAGATTTGAGTTTTATTACTAGTTTGGTGACAATGCCTCATAAGGCACAGAGGTTTTGTTTTCTGAGTACAAACCCAAGACAATACTTGACAAGAAAGAAATATGCAAAGCAAACGAATATTACCTCTCTCCCCTGAATCACAATTACCAATACCGGAAGGAAAAAACTTTTTGCCACTACAAAGTCCTAGCAATGAAAAGTCTCACTCATGTGTGCATGAATTCTGTTTAAGCTTGATGGATCTGCTGCTAACTGAGTTCATGACCAGAGAACATGTAACGTGCCTTTTATGGCTGGATTTTACCAACTTCCCCACCACATTTCCCCGTGAGCGGACTTCCAAAACCAACTTCATTGGAACTCTACCACTGTAATCTGCCTCAGCCAAGCTTGCTCCAGCTCCATATAGAGGCACCATATCTCCTGTCACCTCTACTGTCACCGTCCTATGGCTTTTTCTTGGTTGAAAATATTTCTTCACCTGAAATTATACAGTTATATGTCGAATTCATAAGGTAAAAAATTTAGACTAATCTACAGATCATTGTGTCTCCGGAGCAAGCGTTTTTTTTTTTTTTTTGTTAAAACTACCTGACCAGTTGCGATGACAATTTCGGAGTACATGAGATTGACGGGCGCGGAGCTGACATGAATGCCAAAGAATGAAGCAGGGTTGTGGATAGTCATTTCGATTGAAGTGTTCATAGTCAACATTTTTGTGGGAACTCCTGTTGCATCTGAACCTTCCCCCAAGTAAAAATTATGTGCAGTAACATTCTGCAGTAAAAACTAGAAAATCTAAACGTACAATCATGGGAAAAACCAGACCATTGGGTTCTATCAATTTTATACATGCAAGACACAAATTATACTTGAATTTTACATATCAAATGATTAAAATCTAAAAATACGAGAAATAGAAAATAAAAGGAAAAAAAAAGAAGACAAGAACTTGGAAGATGATGCAGTACCTGGACTGTAACATGAACGTTGTAACGTCTACTAGCGCCCCAAAGAAGGAGACAGAACAAGGAGAAAATGGCGACGAACCCCATCAACCCAAGAAATATCTGCCATCTTCTCGACACTCTCTGATCCCTGTACAGCTGATAGTAATCTTCCTCATCGATCACGTGGCACTGCTGCCACCCTTTCTCGATCCGCTTCCTTCCCTTCCGTCCCGAATACGACGCCCACCTGAAACCGCTGCTGCCGGAAATGCGGCTGGCCGAGGAAGCTCTGGAATGGCGGCCGTAGGAAGGGTGCGACGGGGACTCCACGGGGCTGTTGTAGCTCGGTGTAGCCTGCGCCGTCGTCGTCGTCGACGACGACTTATCGAGGTCGTCGTGGGAGTCTCTCGACGGACTCTGCACGTAGTACTCGATGCGTTTTGGGGAGCCCTCCAAGGAAGTGACATCGGAATCTGACGTTGCGTGCATCATCTTGATAGTATGGCTTCTCTATTTCATAGTATCAAATAAAACTGATCTCCG